TTCCTGAGCGGTGCCTGAGCCCAGAAGTCTCTGCCACGCTCTTGGGTTTCACCCTGTCTGTGCCTGTCCTCTCTGCGCGGTCACCCTGTGTCCCCTGGCCAGTCTATTGCTGCTTCTGCAGAGATGCATCTCTTGAAACAACAGGAGCTGGCCAGGTGTAATCCCAGCCTTCCTTTCCAATTCTGCACCCTCATGTGGTAAATGTCTTTACTTGTGTCAATCCACCGACCTTTAGTCTGGTGGTTCTGCTTGTTAGCAGTAGCCCTGGAGTTCAGACTTACAGGTGAGCACCTTTCACTCCTTAGTCTTGGCTCTGGTGCTGACTGTGGAAACATCTCCCCCTGTCTTCAGTTTATTCCAGGCAGAGAAGGGAGTTTCTGTGACAGGCATAGCTCTGTTACTTACCTAGGCAAGGCTGAGTATTTTCCCAAAGAATTTGTGAAATACTCTCTGAATGATCAGTGGCACAAGCATGTGACTCCAAGTCACTGGACAGCAAGCTATTTAAAAAAGCATCCACTAAATAAAAAAACAAGTCTGAAAGAGTATCTGGTGTTAGAAAGCACTTAATTTAGGGAAGTTCCTATCTCATGAGTGAGTGTCATGTCATAAGGCAATATTGCAGCGTTCCTCAAGGGTAACGCACAGAAATAGGTTCCACTTTTGTACGTGACACATGGATAATGCTATGCTAAATGTAAATGTGCTCAGATACAGGTTCAAATACCCACAGCCTGTGGTCTCTCTTTTTTTTCCCTGGCTGCTTGATCCCAGCATGACTGGGCTGTTCTGTGGATTCATACAGTCTTGTGCACTACAAGTTTCAGTTTCCCTGGTCTTGTTTTGGCATTTGTGCATTTCAGCACCTTTAAAGTAAGTTGTCTTAATTTCATGAACCTCCAATTTGTAGGATCATAGTCACTTTCCAGATGTGGATAAAATGTTTCTGTCTTTGGCATTGAAGGTTTGGTGTCTTGAAGGTGATGTGTTACCATCAAATAATATAGCTAAGCTTCTTACTTTGAGAACTGGTAGAGTAAGACTTGTTTTCCATGTCTCTGTTTTCTGCTGGGCTGGTTTAGGGAATAATATGCCAATGAAGGGCAAGAAATAACAAATGGTGATGAATTATTCCTTGTGCATCGTTGCTGTTACTTCAAAGAGCTCATCGCCTCCTTTCAAGGACTATGTGGATTTCTCAGTTTCACAAATAAGAACTTATTTTGTCTGGATCCTTTCCCTTTGACAGGTATAGGATCACACAGGAGGCCCTGTGAACTTTCTGACAGTGATTCTTATCAGAATTAAGGATTTTTAGTGAATTCCCTTGCCACTTTGCAAGGTTCTTTCACCAGCTGTTTTTCCCCTCTGTATAGTTTATATGGTCAACGAACATGATTATCTTTCCCATAATAAACTGAGCAGGATGGGTGCCTTAGCATCATTTCATGTACAGTCCTTGGCAATGGGAGCCTTACTAAGATGTGCCAGCTCAACTCTCATTCCTCTGGGAGGGCTGTTGGAGTGGCCAGCAGAGTTCACTTTAGACTTTCTCTTCATCCCTTGCTTTGCAGCTGCTGTGTGATTGCATGCAAGGTTTCCTTTTTTTTTTTTTTTCAAAAGCGCTTTCATCTTTTATGTACCTTCCCAACCTCCCCCCACCCTTCCCCAAACTATTTTTGTTTAGGGTAGGCCTTCCAGTACCCTGAAGTTTAAAATTCATACATTGAAGATATCTTGTCTAAGCTGGCAGTGGTAGGAGAGACCTGTGGACATTTAGTGACATGAACCACTATGATTATATGGGTCTTTGAAAGCTATGATGGAGATCTAGCTGGACTCCACTCCCTTATCATTTGATATCTACCTTTTCTAAAATGTATTTGCTAGTGTCATATTCTAGTGGATCAATAAAGCATATGACCTTGCTACCAGAAAAAAATACTGAATGTATATTTGATGAGACTGAATCTGCCACCTTCTAACACTTCCACATGCTGTTTGGTTTTTTTTGGATCAGCAAGAAGAGCCCAAACATCAGCTGAATGGTCCTGTAATCTTCAAGAGAAGAATCTTTGTTCCAAGCCAGGGGAGCTCTTTCTTAAAAGGCCCCTTTTGCATTTTCTTGGACGTTTTACAAATGTTGCACCTGTACATGAGAGATTCGTCTGGATATGAAACACGAACTTCAAAGTGTGCTTCCATACATCACTGAAACAAGAGCCTGGGTGTTTGATAAATCAAATGGGAGTCTAACCTGATTATACAGATACTGCGTACTGCGTAGCTGCAATGCCTATGATGCCAATTAGTTTTTCAGCCATGAACCTTTGCTAGTGGGCCTTTTCTTCAAAAGGAATTTTTATCTCCTATACTGGTCAAAATTTTTTTCAGTTGTCCACCTGCTTTTCTTTTTTTTTTTTTTTTTTTTTTTTTTTACTAAATTCCATCTAGTCTATGCAGAGTTGGGGACTACCACTCCTCCTTTAACATGCTTTACCAGGATGAATAAGATTATGTTGATTTTAGTATTTTTTTTTTTCCATTTAACAGTACAGTTTTCCCTTGGTGTAGAACATTATTCATGAAGATGCATGTTTTCTAACCATGAGGCTGGATTAGTATCTGAGGATTTGGGATCTTTCCAATGCTCCATTCTGTTCTCTCTGGCAAAACTTTTAATTTCATCCTAGTGGCAGCAAATCCAAGTGTGTGTATATATATCTTTTTTTAAAAAACAAAGGTAAAATCCAACCACAGTCAGAAAAATGTCTCCCACAAACCTGAAATCTCCTGTCCATCTTGAACTCCTTGGCTGAAATTGGAGAAGTCTTGAGCAGAGATTTTCCAGAGAGTGCTTAACTCTGCAGCAATAACCACACCAGCTTCTTGAGCCTGATCCTTCGACATCTCCACCAGTTTTCCATTTTGTAATGGCGCAGGGGAAGGCAGGAGGCAAACCTGACCTTAGTGCACTCTTATAAGCACAGCATGTCAACAAAAGACAGGAAGAAAGAGAAAACCGTTTGCAACTCAGTAGGGATCAGCAACCTTCTGAAAATGCTGTACAGTAGCAAACAAGTGATGGCCTCATGCAAATCATTACAGGCTCAAACAGGAACTTCTTGCTGATGATCTGCTCTGGTGCTCATCAAGTTTCATTTTAACAAAGCATGACTAGGTTTTCCTTGTTTGCTGGCCTGTACTGCCAGGCTGTGGGGCTTTGCCCTCATATTTGAGGGAAGGAGAAGCCCTGATGTTGACTTCAGTGGTTGCCTTTCATGCTTAAATGTTTTCAGCCTAATCTTTTATTGGCAGCAACCAAAGTCAGATGCTTAAACCTCATACGGAGACTGAATAATTGCAAAAAGGGGTCGTACCCGACTGCCTTGTGTACTCGCATGTGCCCGAGTGGTGCAAAGCCACAGACCCCAAATGTCTTTCTGTTCTGCTGGTCTTCGGCAACTTGATCCCCTCAACTGCAGCATGGTGGTAGGTCCTTTCTTACACTCATATTAATTGGTTCCCTGTGGACTCGAGATTTATATTCTGTTTTCCAAAGGCAGGTATGAAGGCTGGCTGCTCCCAGGTGCTACCACTACTGCTAAGCTGCCACTTTACATTCCCCAGATTCCAGCCTGGTGTGTCTAGGCAGATATCTCTTGGCTGTTTAAATTGAAAAACGGTAACGCTGAAATACACTGAGGTCAAACAGAAAGTCAAACAACTGCTTTGGGCTTAGAGTAAGAGAGTACCAGGGGAGAGAGATTCTGTGGGCAGCAAAGCTAAAGGAACTGGCCTTTAATTCAGTAGTGGAAACACCTCTACAGAGAGACACAGACTGAGCAGGGATATGATGTGAAAATAGGAGAAACAGGTAGCTGAAAATTCCCGATGATTCTAATTCCAGGGAAATTCCAAAGCAGGACTAGCTGTAGCACATCCAAGCTGCAGATGTGCTGAAAGTTCCGTATTTTTAGTAGTGTCTTCAAGATCTGTTCCAACGACTTTGCTGCTGTTTTTTTCCCCAACACTTTTACCAGTGAGAAAAGATAACAAAGCAGAGTTAGAAATCTGAATATTAAAATTTTCACTAACCACACATTTTCAATGGCCGTAAAGAGAAAGACAAACTGATATGAAGAAACACAGTTATTAGAGTTCACGCAATAGCATACAAATGTGAGGTAGTGAGGATGCACGGCATGGTAGGTGAAACCATGTCACTGTATAAGGAGAGATCTGGGTATAGTAACTGTTATATCTGAATGATCGTGACATGCAAGTAGAGGAAACAATGATGTTTCCGGACTCTGCGGAGAAGCAAAGTCCCTGCTTCATCCAGGCACAGCTGAACTTTGCAGCCAAGTGCTTAATGCCATACCAGGTCAGTTGGGATGTAATTGTCTGTAATCAGAACAGTCAAAAGTTACAGAGTTCACTATCTGCTAGCTGCATGACACCCAGAAATTCTTTCCAGACTTAAAAACAAGCAAAGAGACAAGTTTGAACCTGAACTTTGGGGTAATCACGCCACTCAGAAGCATAAACAAACACGGCACTGACTGGAAAATTATTCTTGAGGTGTCACTTTTGACTGATCCAGATGAGAAGTTTCCAAAGTTAGGGTCGTGACCCCAAGGAGCACTGATGGAAGAGAGGTCATGAGCCTGGAACTGAGGTTGTGGGCAGAAAATCTTGGGAACTGCTGATGTAGACAGATGAATGGTCATGTCAAGGGGCTTCCCTTGGAAACCCTTTTTCCCCTCTCCTGCCTTGGAAACAGTAACTCGAGTGAGTTTTAAAGCTGGCAAGCCTAGCCTGTTTCTAGCACACTGCTGAATTTTTAAAAGTAGATCTCTGGAAATGAGCCTAAGGTGATGGGAGCAAGGGGAGCTCTGGAGGGAAGGACGTGGGACAAAAAAGAAGAGGAGGAGAGGCAGATCTGTGGGAAGCAGGATCCACCAAGCAAAAATAAGATTCAACAGTGATGATGGGAAGAAATAGAGGCTTTTTAAGGTTGTAGTGAAGCTTTGAAGTCTAACTTGTAAGGTCAAATTCTTCTCCCAGGAGGTTCAAGGGATGTGCTTGCGCCCCTCCTCTGTGAGAAGCCCCTGGTGCTGAGGTGGGCACCCTAGTGTGGAAGCTAACCTAAATTTTGGTGGAATTAATGTGTGGCCAGAGTAAGATCTGTACGGCTAACACATGCAGAAATAAGGCAGTTGTCTTTAAGTGAGTCTCTAAATGGCCTCCTTGTAATTCTAAAGCTACCAAAGCTAGGCCCCGAATGTGTGTGTTAAGAGTAAACCACTGTTATTTAGAACTATGGTGGTTTACTTCATAATATTCATACTATGAAAAAAAGTGGAAAATACCAGCAGACCAGAAAATTAGTGTAGTTTATGTTACTAACTTTGTATCTTGTCATTTTTAAGAAAAATATTTTAAGTTCTAAGAATGATTGGTAAAGGTCTCTAAATGTTGAATATCGGAGATTTTTCATGTCAGCAGTAATAAGCAGTTGTTAGTGGTAGTTCTGGGTTAGTTCAGCCCAGACGAGGGACTCGCAGTGCCTGCACAGCTTCAAATAGCTGCTAGTTGGTTAAGCAAGTGATGCCTAACCTTCAGGCCTCTGTATCAAGGGCCCTGGGAGCTTTGCTCTTGAAGGCACCTAATTTTGTAGGATGCTCCAGACTGAATTTGTGGGTAAGACTCAATTAAGACTTTTATGTGCATATCTGTCTCTGAAGTGCAGAAACAATTTTAATGAAGCCATTGAGATCATTCAAGTATAAAGTTACAGGCATGTTTCAGACGTGACCAGATTTGGTGCAGAACCAGCCCTTATCTCCAGCTCTGGTGACCCAGTCTGGACCAGTCTCCACAAGTTTCTTTTCAGGGTTTAAAACCAAGCCTTTGGTTTGTTTGAGAAATTCGAGGTTTTATTTTCATAATTACCTTTAGTTTTGGAGCTGCCCTTAAGGCTATTTGGAATCCATTGAAACGTGCTGAACTCTAAACCAGAGGTTTCTGTATTTCGTGTCAAATGCACAGAAATCAAGTATGAGGTTTCTGCTTCAATCATGTGGAAGTTTGTTTTAACTTCCAAAGCATACTGTGTTTTCTTTAAAGAAACTGGTAACTCTGGTTAATGCTGAGCTCATTTCAGGCAGGCTGGTTTTTCACATCAAAGCATGTGACTTTAATTTCCCAAACATTTCCCCGAATACCTTTTTTCAGTCTGCAAAATAATCCATGGGGAAAAAAAGTACAGATCTCATCACGATGCTTGAAATTGTCATACTTCACATGTGCACTAGTACCGTGCAAGGTAAAGAAAGGGTCTAGGGGCATGTTACAGGATATTCAAGGCCAACTTGTGCCATGACTCAGGTGACTGTTGGCTTTAGCACAGTAATAATCTAGCCCTATAGCTGACTCATCCCTCTCTTTAGGTACACTTTATCTCCAATGTACTTCTGTTAGTAGATTTGTTTAGTTTTTTTCCTTGGTACTATCTGTAAACATCTTGAGATACATGGCATCCTCTTTGCAGGGAAATTTTTCTAGAGGACTGGCAGGAATTTTTGATTCTCACATGCAGGCTTAACCATTCTCATTGTTAGTTCTTCCTCCTACTGCTGATTATATAGCTCATCTCTGTGATGGCACCCTTAAAATAAATTACCAAGTCTAAATGTTGGTTGTTGATACATAGTGTAAGGACTCATTCTTATCCTCCTAATGGAGCTCCTAGATACCAAAGGGAATTCCTGGACCAAAAAAAAACCCCAACCCCAAACTTTTCAGCCTATCAAAAATCTGTAAGCCTTCAGAATAAGTCCTTTACCCAAAATGTAATGCTCTCAGTTGAAAGCCAGGCATGATAAAAATGACAGATGAAAAACATGAAAAAATAAACAAGGGGCTCTTTTTGCTACAGGCTATTACAGAGTGTAGCTGTAGGAACAGATCAGTTCACATAATGAAGTGCCTTTGGAGTATAAGTTTTCTGCTTGTAGACAGCAGACCTTTTTTTGTATTTCTGTACTAAGAGGGCTTCTCCCAATAAGATTAAAGGTCATAGCTCCTTGTATGTGAATGTGACATACGATTTTTTTACCAAGATACTCTTTGAAGCAAACATCCTAGGGCCTTCCAAGTTGGCGAGTTGATGCTGATTTCTGAGTCATCTCAGCCCAAAACATTATTTTGTATTTTTACAATGTTTTGGGCTGTAGAGGGAACATCAGCCATCTTATCTGACTGATGCTATCGGGTGCTTTCCATTAGTTTCCTAATGTATATCCAAGAGACAGCTAGACACGCACTAAGTCTGGATGTGAATGGCACTGAAATTAAGTGGGATTTATTTTAGTTTATCGGAAAGGTGGAGCAGCTCAGCTTCTGTAGCAGGATAAGGCCTTGACAAGTTCTTTTAAGCTTAAACTTTATGTAATATGTGTCATCTCATTTGTTGCTTTCCTCATCTCCCCTCTCTTTTTCTCTTCCCTGTATATTGCCATGTTTTCTTAGTTTATACAAACATGTGCTGCTATGTATAGATTTTTCTGCTGTGGCTGGTCCAGTGGTGGAACTGGGCAGACTCATGGCAGATCCAGGCATGGGCAGTATTCTCAACACAGAGACCATCTGTGAAACAGTCTGGGTGGGGTCTAATGTGTGTCATGGTTTCTGTTGCATTGTTTCTAATTTTCTATAATAGTGACCACTAATTAATAACCTCTTAGCTAGTTCTGAGAGTTATTCTGGAATGTGGCCTTTATTAATAGGGTATTGATAAATGGCAGGGGGAGTCACTTCCAGTCCTGCACTCCTTCAAGGAATCCTCTAACGATGCCCAATACTTCTTGGTGCTGCATAATATCTACTTCTGAATTCCAGCTGCAGCTAAGGTTTTCTTTTTTTGTCCTGTTGGAGTTGCTGAGATTGTGTCATTTGATGGGGGACTGTTCAAAGAAGAAATACTAAAATATGTTGAACAAAAGTATATCTAAAGTTGTCGTGGTTTAACCCAGCTGGCAACTAAGCACCACGCAGCTGCTCGCTCGCTCCCCCCTCCCTCAGTGGGATGGGGGAGAGAATCAGGAAGGGGAAAAAAAAGTTAGAGCCGTGGGCTGAGATAAAGACAGTTTAATAAGAGAAAATAATAATAGTAATAATGAGAATGGTAACAGAATATACAGAATATAAAAAACAAATGATGCACAATGCACTTGCTCACCACCCACCGACTGATGCCCAGCCTGTCCCGAGCTGTGATCAGTCCCCGAGCAGCGATTGCTCTCCCCACAACCGACCGACCAACTAATCCCCCCCCCGAGCATGACGTTATAAGGTATAGAATAGTTCTTTGGTCAGTTTGGGTTAGCTGTCCTAGCTGTGCTCCCTCCCAGCTTGTTATGCACCTGGCCAAGCAGGAGAAGCTCAAAAAGTCCTTGAGTAGTCTGAGCATTACTTGGCAACAACTA